ATTAATGGAAATCCAAAGTCTCTGTAAACTTTCATTAAAATTAATAATAAAAAAAGAAGGGGGGAAAGAGAAAAGTCTTCCAAGCATCCTGAAAAACCTACAACCAGGAGAGGATAAAATAGATGAATGAGACCTAAGAATCAAATCCCTATGCACATCCAAAAACTTCTTCAACAGGGAAAAAAAGGGAAGCCACAGACTTGGGAAAGAATATTTGATAATAATGACTTGTCTGTTAAGGGGCTTCTATCTAGAATTCATCGAATACTCGAGCACCAAAACAAGATAAAGGTAAACAACCCAATTGCAAACTGAGCTCAGGATGTGAACAGACACTTCACCAAAGAAGACATTCAGACAGCCAACCAACACATGAAGAAGTGTTCAAAATCCCCAGCTATAAGAGAGATGCAAATCAAAACAACTATGAGATATCATCTCACCCCAGTAAGAATAGCAAAATTCAACAGAGCAGCAAGCAACAAATGCTAGCGAGGTTGCAGAGAAACTGGAACCCTCATTCACTGTTGGTGGGAGTGTAAAATGGTGCAACCACTCTGGAAGGCAGTATGGTGCTTTCTCAAAAGTTGGAAATAAAAATTCCATTTGAGCCAGAAATTCCACTACTGGGAATATACCCTAAAGAAACCAGAACTGCCACCGAAGAAAATATATGCACACCCATGTTTATTGCTGCGTTGTTCACAATAGCAAAGATTTGGAAACAACCCAAGTGCCCATCAACAAATGGATAGAGAAGCTGTGGTATACTCACACAATGTAATACTATGCTGCACTGAAAAACAAGGAACTCATGAAATATGATACAAAATAGGTGACCCTGGTGGACATTATCCTGATTGAAAGTCACAAAAGGACAAACACTGTATAATGCCACTGTTGTAAAACAGGACTGACATCTGGGTTGCAGAGAAACTAAGAAAAGAAGGGAGAAATAATGTACACGGCATTGAAACAGATAAGGGGAAGAACTGCTTAAAATGATTAGGTATTATTTGCATGACAACTGTCTAGAATAAGAGCTGCACAGTAACGTGGACTGGGGGAGGGATTGTACAACAATGAAAGAATTTTTTTTTTTCAAAGAAAAAAGTGAACTGGGAGGAAAGTGGGCAGGGAGGAGGAAAATGTGCAACACTCAATAAATGGAAATCCAAGTTCTCTATAAAGTTTCATCAAAATGTCAAGTAAAAATAAAGCTTTTTAAAAAGCCTAATATGGATTGACGCTCAACATAAAAAAAACCAAAACCAAAGATTCTTACCACTGGGGTGATTGGCAGCATCACGATAGACAGTGAAGAGAATGAGATTATTAACAGCTTCAGTTTGCTTGGCTCCACAATCAACACTCTTGGTACCAGCAGCCAGGAAATCAAAAGACTAATTGCATTGAGAAAGTCTGCTGTCAGAACCTCTACTGCATTGAGATAGTCTGCTGTCAGGGACCTCTCCAGAGTACTAAAGAGCAATGATGTCATCCTGGAGACTAAGGTGCACCCGATCCAGGTCATGCTCTTTGCAATTACCTATAATCCAGGAAGTATTAAAAGAAGATGGAAGGAATATACTGAGTCACTGTATCAAAAGGAATTGGAAGACACAGAAGACTTTCATGAAACAACATATGAGCAAGAGCCTATGGGGATGAAAGAAGAAGTTCAGGCTGCTTTGAAGGAAATGGCAAAAAATAAGGCTCCAGGAATAGATGGTATACCAATTGACATATTTC